AGCCTGCAGGCACATGCAGACCTTGTCAGCAAGCCAGTTCACTCGCTGATCAGCCGCCTGTGCAGTTTTCAGAACCCTGAGCAGAACAGAATGGTCCCTCGCTGTCCAAGTGTTCCTCGCTTAGGCTAGCCTGTGTGCCTTTACGGAAAACCATTTCTGCCCCTGATACTGTAAAGTAGACCCCTGTCCCACTGGATGCCCTCTGCCTGCACCTGCTTGGATGGCAGCAGCTCCTCGCTACCCTCTTGCCATGTGTGGGGCATCCCCAGATGCCACCCAGGCCGGCTCATTTCCAATCAGATGCTTCCCTCCGCCCCACACCAAGACACGGACATGCACTTGTTTCTTCTCACAATCCTACAGTGGTCCGCACCACCAAATGCACGGCTGTAACCATCTCAGTGCCAGGGACTCTGGTAGTTGTATTTTTAAGACTACCTGATTCCAGGGCACTCCAGGAAGCAAAAGAACACGCTTAATTAGAAATGTGGAAATCCAGCCTCCTTGTAATATTTGTGTGCTGTGCAGCACAAGGTTCAGATTCATTACCAACCTGTAGTGTCAGCAATCCCAGGTATAAGCCCCAGCTTGGCCGTTTGCTTGCTATGTGAACCTGGCCTGAGTCCATTTTCCACATGGGAAAATAAGAGATATAATATTCCTCTCTCATATCCCTGTCTCATATCCCTATTGTATAAAATGAAACAGCACAATGTTTAGCACAGCGGCTGATACATGACAAGTCTCCATAACTATTTTGAAGCCACTGTAATTACTAAGAAGTCCTAAGTTTGTGTCTGTAAAATAAAGGACAGACACCCTTCATCGCCGAATTAGGGAGGCGCACAGTGCCAGCCTCACCCCACGCCACTTTCACATAATAAATGAGACTTGCCAGCAAATCATCTTCAGAATCTACACGCTACATAATTACCAGGGGTGATCTGACTCACCCTATGGAGTATGAGAAGTACTGCTCCTAAGGGAAAACCTCTCAGGTGTCAAGGAATAAGTGACTTATCTGCCCCAAGTGACAGGGACTTGTTTCCATGTCTTTAGGGCAACAGCTGCTCATTGTCTACCAGTTGGGCTCGCTTGTCGGAAGAGTAAAGTCATTTTTTGCTGTCACGGGAAAAGCCAGTGCTAAGAACCCAAAGTAGAATTGGAGGGGAGGGGGGCAAAGGGATGTGGTTGAGGACGGTGGTGCCGAATGAATGACCCCTTCTCACTCATGACCGTCCCCTGGGGCCTGTGATAGCATCCCGTTAAACCTGGTTCTGCTCTCCATGGTCCCTAATTCCTATCAGACCCGCCTCACTGTTACCCAGTCACATGGCCCATGTCTTCAATTCTGAAGTTTTACCAACAATGGTGCTTAGCTCATTGCAGCACCATTGCAAATATCCATGTAGCCTTTGAATTTGCCCATAGCTCAGGTAGGATTGGAAGGCCAAAGGTCTATTTGCATAATGTTTGCATGCAATTAACATGTCCATCAGTAGGTTTGTTCACCAGTTCCAAATTCAGAGCTTCTGAGGCCTCCTTAAAAATGGTTATTCTTCACTGTGTTCTTCATTGTCATTTAACACTGTCTGCACTAACTATCTATACTCGCTAATAACTGGAGTACAGTAGGCCAGGTCCCACCAGAACCTTGCAGATGGGAGTGAACAGCTCAAATCTCAAGTCCCAGCAGGGCTCCTCATTTCCCTTGCATGCTTCTCCATAGAGGAACACATCAAATCATTTGAAAGATTAATCTTCCCAGACCAGTACAACAAATCTTAGTGGCTTTTCCCCCCAACAAACACTTTTTAGGAGCGTGGATGAGGTCAGAGTTTGAAAGGACAGGATATACACCATTGTCCCACCTAAGAGGGCACCCGTGCTACCACATATATCACCTACTCCTTATGTACTGTCACATAGACACTGCATCTGGCTACAGCTCATCCCTGGGGTCAGACAGAAAGGACGGTGACGTCTGGGTGGCAGACTATGATTACCTGATTGAGGAAAGGGCACAGAAAGTTTCGAGAAGAGGGGGCTTTCCCTCGTCTACAACATAGGGGTCTCTTCCCAAACTTACTCTAGAGCTGAGTCTCAGGCCGTTCTGAAGGCCACACTTGGCCTGGGTTGAGCGGCAGGTATCCTGAAGCAAATGCAGAATGGGACAGGGCTCCTAGAATGTTCTTCCTGCCTATCAGAGTTCACACCATGACCAACTGTGATCCAGACCCAGAACGGGCCTTCCCCAGCTGCTGCAGGAAGAGTTTGCACAGATGAACACAAAGCTCCCACTGCTATCTGGGTAACTTGCTGAAATCCCATAGGGGTTTTTCACGTTGGGCCTCTGAATGAGGTAGACCAGGAGTTCAGGGACAGGTTCTGCCTGGAATTTACAACCAAAAGTTTGGGGCAGGCCACATGACATCTCTGTAGACACTGTCAAGATAATTTAGGGCACTAATTATGGGTAACAAACTCCTTCCTAATTCTCCTTCCTTATCTTAAGTGTCTACAACAAGGTTTTTTTTTTTTTTTTAAACTTTCAAAAAAGTCTCACAAAATAATTGAAAGTGGCAGAGCCTATACAAAACAGTTTTGGTCAGTTGGCTGAACTGAATATCTAGAAATATTCTCACTGGGGAATCGACGTGCTGAGGGGAAATTCTTAGCAGTGACTTAAGTTGTTTATGGATTTATTAATGACTAATTAACATAAGGACAAGATCCATGGAAATTTTGTGGCCCAATACAGAAAAGCAGAACACCTACTACCCTTCCATCAGCGTACCTGATCAAGGGAGGAGAAGGAGAAAGAGACAGCCGGTTGGGGGCAAGGGCCATTCTTTTCCTTCTCAAGCCAAAGAGAAAGATCTCTTCATCACAGTGGTCGCTGTCTGTATCCATCCCTCTGTCCAGTTGTCTGGCTTTCCTGCAGCTTCTGTTCAGTCCAGAGCCTGGAATTCAATCCAGGAATTCAAACAGGCATGACAAACACTGTTTTTCATTTCCATGGAGACCAGAGCCTGCAATAGAACTCAGACTCCATGCTTGAAATGCCAAAACAGCCTGACCCACTTTTCCCCTCTTCCTACAAAAACAAAATAAGTTTGTTTGCATCCTGTCAGAGGGCAGGGGAAGCCAGCCCTGCTGTTATCTCTGTGGGTACTTCAAAGCCGAGCAAATTATGATAACCTTGGGAAATACCAAAGGTGCGACATAGGCAGCGTTGGAAGGCAGAAATGAAGTCATACAATCAGCCTACGTCAAATCCACTCTACCTCCTTGTCCTAACCCTCTGGAGGGAAAGGTTCAAATCCCCGAAGAATTTCAGCAGCCATCTGACTTCTTCTAAAATTCAACTGTTTTCCTAACTTCCTCTCACACCACATTCTCTTGGGTTACTCCAGCCTCTTTCTCTTCCTTGACCACAAGCTCATCCGTTCCCAGAGATCTTCGTACTTGTGGGCCTCTGCCCGGACTCCTTACTTTATAAACTTTCTTGAAAGCTGGTTCCTTTTCAGCCTTCAAATCAGAGCTCAGATGTCACCTTTCTGGAGCAGATGTTCTGTATTTATTTTTGTTTTGGTACTGGGGATTGAACTCGCAACCTTGCGCTTGCCAGGCAGACGCTCATGCCGTTGTGGTGCAGGTGTTCTTGAAAGGCCACTCCATTCAAAGTGATCTCACTGTCTGAAGGCGATCCTTATGTCATTCATGTTTCTCTTGCCTGCACTTAGAGGAGCTAAAAAGGCCTCTTTTTTGCGGCTCCATTGTCTGCCACTAGAACGAACTCCATGGGGGCCGGGGGCCAGTCTCTTGTACAGCGCCCCAGTAACTCCAGCAAAATGACTGCTATTCACAGGGGCTGCAGATACGCACCACATGAAAAGAAATGAGCTCTTTTTAAAGCCATTTCTTCTATTTTTTTAGCCATCTGTTCATTCCTTTCATCTTTCAGATATGTCTCCGAGACATACCTTTCTTAAGCTGGCCCCAAATCTGCTGTCTTTATCACTCCAGACCTTAGTCCTTGTTCTGATTTCTGGATCCAGGAAAACTAAACAATGACATACTTCCAGACTCCTGGATGGCCTGGTCATTTTTTCATCTAGACGTCTTTCCGTGTACCTGCGTTCCTTGTATGCGATCCTTGGTTATTTCCAACTTTACAGGACTGAATAACAAGAACAACTCTATTTAGATAGTGTATCCCAAAAGTAAAGGGCTTCCTATAATTTCTCATGGAGTGGGAAATTCCTGGGGAAGAAACAGAATCTTGTTCCTAATTCTATCTTTTCCAGATGGCGAAAACTCGGGCGAGGACATAGGCTGCCTCTCTTCACATCTTCGGCTACCTCCTGTTTTCCTAGGGCCACGATGATAAAGATAACGCGGTTTGATATGAAATTAAATCCAGGAACTTACTGGCTGATACAATTCCTTTTCCTGACATTGTTCACAACAGAACAAACACCTAACTTTGCAGGGGTCAAGAACTGTGAATTGCCTGAGCTAATCTATAATCATCTGGTTAGGAAGGGGCTTTAGTGGTCAGTAACCTGTCTTCCCACTGGTGCAGGATCTCACTGGGCAGTGGCCCTAATGCTAGCTGCCTGCCTCTGCTTCATATTTGCAAGATGGAGTATTCACAGGTTGCCTATAAGTTGGGACATCTCTAAAAGGACTTTAAATGTCATAGCTCTTATTTCTTATCGAGAGTCAATAATACTACCTGTCCAACTCATTCTGAGTTTAAGTCTTCAAAAATTAAGCTAATCTTGCCAATTCAAATCATTAAGCAAATATTTTCCAAGATGGGGCAACAATGTCACGGTTGCTTATAGCCATAATAATAACAACCACGATACTGGGCATGAAGTAGGAACTTAATCCTTTCAAAACGGACTCTATAAATATCAGCTGAATCCCAGCACATGCAGGCTATTACAGAAAGTAATCCAGTTCGAAGTATTCCAGAAGCTCAAGGGAACTGGACCTGTGGAACAGCAAAACGCTAAGCTAACCCAAGAAGCCCCTTCCTTGAAAAAGATTTCCAAGCCACTGGGAGACCACAAACTACTGAACCAAGGAGCAGTTCAACTGAATAGAACTTTCAGCTTTCTAAGTTTGCCCATCCAGGGCCCCTCCCTCCTCCATCCTCAGCAAGAGAAATATTGTGACCAAAATGGAAAGAAGTTTGTACAGGATCCAGCCAGCCAGCCACCCGCTCACCCACCTATCCTTCACTGAGAACTGAGCTCCATACCAGGTAATGCTCTCGACACTAAGGATATTATTTTTGCCTCTAAGAATCTCTGAATCTAATGAGAGAGATAAACATGTTGTTAACAAATGCCAATATAATAGGGCCTACTTGGATTCAATCAAAGCATCTCCCTTTACCACCTGTGCAGGCAGCCAGGCCAGGCAACAGTACACCAGGAATTAGGTGACCTTTCTAACTCAGCCCCTGTCTAGTGTACAATCGGGGCAAAGCTTTGCTGTCTGAGTTTCAGCTCATACTGTTCAAGTGTGGATGCCATTTAATCCCCCATGAGGATGGGCAGGGAGGGTGGCAAAGCTATATAAGAAACCCTGGGAGCCACTGAGAGTGACAGCATTTCTGGGAAAGAACTCAGATCTACGCTAGGCGAAGCATTTGGAAAGAAGAGGTGATGGTCTGATCCCATAGCGAACTTAGCATGGCCAGCTTCCTCTGTGGATAGGACCGCATCAGTGCAGGCAGCAGAGGATGTCACAGTACTGGCAGATAAAGCTTCCTAGCTTGGACCCTTACTGGGCTAGCAGGTGGGCACCATGGGAATAACGGCACCCGGCGGGCCCTTCCCATACACTGCCCACCTCGCCGGCTTGGCTCACCTGGGACTCAGCCCCCATTCTACGTTATCTTCTGTTAAACATCAAACAGAAACATGCCAAAGAATTATCATTATAATAAGACAGGGAAATTTTTAAGAGGGCCGTCAGCCGTCAGTTCCAACAGCCTGGCTTCAAGCAGATGCCCACGTCAACCAAACTGAAAATACATTTGGGGTACAGAATTCCACAGCTTTCCTTTATTACCAGAGTTCTTATTCTGCCCCATTTGGAGCCATAGAACAATTTTAATTTTTCTTCTATGTGGCCTGTTCATACAGCTCTCACACCTTTAAACTGGTGGTACCCCACCCCTGATTGGGCTCTATCTCCCCTCTGAGTAAATGGATTCCAGTTGATTCCCCTTAAACTAGATCCCAGACACAGCTGCACTACTGCAGAGTAATCCAATTGGCTCAGAAGAGAGCAGACTAATCACCCCATGTAATTTAGAAATCAGGTACACGTGTATTTCTAGAGGCATCTTCTGAGTCAGGGGAATCTGGGATTAGTCACTGTTTTCTTCTGGGTCTCTGGGTACTGTTTCCACCATACCATACAGGCTAAAAGAATGTCTTTGCACGTTCACACGCACACACGTCCCCACAAGGAAGCACACACACCCACATTCCACACTTCCCTCAGCCAGACAAAACTGAGCGCTGGCAGCATGATGAAGAAATCGCCCAGATCTGGTTCCAGCTTAGGTCACCACAATCCTGAGGGGTCCACAGGAGTCCCTCTAGGCCACAGCAATTTTAAATGGTTGCAAAAAGAATGACATTGTGTGACACGAAAGCTATGTGAAATCCACATTTTAGCATCCATAAATAAAGTTTTATTACGATCACACTCACACTCATTTGTTCACAACTGTTCACAGATACTTCGGTGTACAAAGCAGGAGTACAGGGATGTGACAGAGACAGCACAGCCCACAAGGTCCACGAGACTGTCAGAAAGAGGTCACCGGCCGCTGGTCTAACAGCGTGTGACTTTGCAAAGTTCTTTTCCACAATCTGCTTCTCCTCTGTCCCTCAGACAAGGAACCTGAAGCGACCTATACGACACCTAAGGGGAAGGAATCCAGGCTCACTCTCTGGGGGGAGGCCATTTGTAGGGCCAGAAAAGACAGGAAGTCTTTTTTCTAGGTAGGATGATAAGTTCCTGCTCATTTTGTCCACAGTCAATGATTTCAAAGTTCCTCAGATGTCTGAAGAGTTCATCAGTCCAGCTGACTCTCAAGTGCCATGGGACACTACTCTCTGATCATGGCTTTGACACTGTCCGTTTCCTGCCACAAGCAGCTCCACAAAACATCCCTTTCCCTACCCTCCTTCTGAGGCCAGACTTCCCATCTTGGTATTAGATGCCTCTGACCTGCAGAGCGTGATCCAAAGCAAAGGCACGTGCACCCACAGTCAAGGTTAGCTGGAGGGAGGGGCAAGGCAGGAAGAGTCGGAAGGCAAGGCCACAGAGCAGACTTTGGTAGCAAATGTCAGAGAGGAGGCAAAGATCGCTTCCCCCAGCCCTGGCTAAGCTCTTGGCTGAAGCCCCAGGGAGACAGCAAGCTCCAAGTCCTCCCCCATCCGCCACTTCCCTAAATGAAGCAAATAACTAACAATGCAAGGAGGTGTGGGGGAGTCAGGCCCAGCCACTGGGAATCTATTTTCTCAAAACACATGGCCAATGTCTGAGCCAAGTGCTGGCAGAGCCAAAGAAACAAATCTCTTTTATTTCCCCAAGTCCATAGCACCCTACTTTCCCCCCGCTTGTCCTCTCCTCCTGGCCATCTGACCCATGTGTCCTATGGCCTTCTCCCTGTGAGATGAGCAGCCTGTGTCCCCAACTTCGACCACTGCTCTGGTCACCTCCTGCTCACTGGGGCACCAGGGAGGAAGTCAGTGGGTGGGGACAGGAGCACATGGCCTATCCAGCCTCCCCCAGAAGCTCTTGGCCACCTTTGTGACGCACCACTAATTCAATCCTCTGCCCTCCTTTCTCCAAATCAGAGGGCCCCAGTTAAGCCTTACTGGCGAAGGGGACCCCATCAGCCCCGGCTCAACCCCTCCCTTAGCTCCCCCAGGGCCCTCCTTAGGGCCAAAGCTCAGTTCAGTGTTCCTGGAGGAGGAAGGAGAGGATAGAGAGGAGAAAAGCCCAGGACGGAAATGAAGATGACATCTCTGCAATGTGATATCACACAGGCTTTCAGATCCCCCGCACGAACAGAGAACAGAAGCAAACAACATGGACTCCAGATTTACTCTGCTCCCAAGGTTTGTGTTCCTGACAGCCCTGCGTGCCGGCTGGAAAAAGCATACAATCAGACAGACAGGTCCCCACCAGGACCCCCAGGGATCCCCATCCAACCTTAAGACACAGCCAGCCAGCGCCAAAAACCCCACGAACAAAGATAGACTGACACACCCGCACACACACACGCGCGCACACACACACACACACACACACACAAGCATCAGCACGAGTGCCACTAACCTGGAGGCCATTAGGAACGGTAGCAGAGTGCAGTGCAGAGGACTCATTCATTCATGCATTGGGCAGTGGGGGGCGGGGGCGGGGAGCAGGGGCCCTGAGGAGGTCGGAGGGCACTCACCTCCATGCCCATCCCAAAGCCCTGATTCTACCGGGGAGGGGGCAGGGGCAGAGCTCTCATAAGCTGAGGGTGCTCCCTTCCTCTGCCTTCTCGCACTGCTCTGGAATTTTAAGCATGGTCCCCCTTTATTTTCTTTCCCCCCACCTCCCTCCGGGGCTGTTATTTGGTGTGGTCGTGCAGCAGTACAGAAGTCCCTCTCTTGCTCGCTCACCCTTGCTCCCTTTCTCTCTCTCTCTCCCTCGGACTCCCTCACAGACAGCTGTTCTGAGCTCAGGCACGCACGCGCACAGGCGCGCAGACACACTCAGACATGCACCCTCTCTTGCGCGCAGACACACGCACGCAAGCACGCACGCACGCGGCCCAGGCACACACACAAGCTGCCGCCTGCCAGTTTACATAATGCAACTCTTGGGTGCAGTCAGCCTGCCTCTCAATTATTCATGCGAGCTTGGAGTCGGGAGGGAGCAACCGGGGCTGAAAGATGTTACTTCCTCCTCATCCCCAAATCTGACAAAACAGAAGATGATGCTGCTGGGAGCTTCTGTTCCCTGTGTTGTCACCAGCGATTTCCCAGGTGTTGCCTATTAGGTCAACCTGTATCAAGGAGGTGACGCTAAATAAAAACACAGGCACCCTGCGCTGGAGGCTCATGTCCTCCATGGCATGACAGCTGTTCTCCTAGCCAGAGCCCTGGGAATAGGGGGAAGGGGCAAGCAGCATTGCAAACAGCAATCCACAGGAGAAAATGGCCGAGCACCTCTCCAGGAGGGCACCTCCTCAACCTCTGAGGCAAGGGACGGTGACACTGCCTTCCTGAGCAGGTCAGACTCTTCCAGACAGGAATACGGCACTTTGCACTCCCGACAAGCAGGGTCATCTGAGTTTCTACATGCTAAGCTGTACCTCCAAGAATTATCTGATCTAGTCACTGAAATGCAGGATTGCTACTCAACACACAGCCCCCAGATGAACATTCTGTTCAGCAAAGGACAGCATGGTTATCTTGAAAGTCATTTGGGGATTACAAAGCACTTTTGTCCCCTTGAAATCACTTGATTCCCATAACAATCACCTGAAAGACCTCAGTGACCCATCTCACGAATGAGGATGCTGATTTCTGGCAGAGGGAGAGGTCCCACTCTAAGAAGGAGGCTGCCGGAGGTGCAGATCACTTGAATCCAATCTCAGGATAATGAAATGCTCGTGTCAGTCAGCTTTCCATTGGATGGCAAAATATCTGAGATAATCCACTTAGAAGATACACGTTGACCCACAGTTTCTGAGGTTTCGATCCTTTTGCGTTTGGTGCCTGCGGCAGCACAGTATACTCCATAGCAGCTGGGAAGTAGGAAAAGAGGGAGGAGAGACGAGGAAGAAGAGAGGAGGAGAGGGTGGCAAGGAGCCAGGGTCAGATAGCCCCTTCAAGGACACAGCCACAGTGACCTAACTTCCTTTCACTTGCCACATCTCCTAATGGTTCCACCACCTCCCAGTGACTGCTACAGACTGCTACAGACTAAGTGTTCAATGCACGAGCCTTTGAGAGATATTTCAGATTCAAACTAAAACGCTGCCCAACACCCTCAGCGTGCTCGTACTTGGAGAAGCAAAGTCATCTGCTGTAAGGGAGTAGAAAAGTCCGAATCTAAATCAAATACAATAAAAAGGCAAGAATGTCATCAGATAGCCTAGTGCCTCTCAAACCTTAATGATTCTTTAAGAATCTTGGAAACCCACAGTGCCAATGTAGCAGGCTTAGGGAAACACCACAGCTGTCTTTATAACAAGCACCCAGGCCACGCCCATGTTGCTATTCCATGGGCCACTGTCAGCAGCAGAGGGGTAATGCATGTGTTCTTGTTCTTCAGTTCTTCCTAAAGGACAGTGTTTCTGTTGGCTGGAGGTGCCCAGGAGAACACACTGAATGAAGCGGGATAATATCAATGACCCACTGGTGTCACCTGTGTCCTGTTCACTGACCGCATGGTGAGAGCTAAAGCTTCTTGGCATTTATTATTGGTAGAAAGTTTCATTCTGCAAGTGTCTGGCCCTGCGGGCTCATGCTAGTTCTTTCCATGGTTGTTTCTTTCTGCAACCTGTTGACAGAAGAGCAGCCTCGTGGGATCTTGGAAGCAGCTGGGTTTGGGCTGCTGGGTCAGCTCGGTTACCTAGCGAAGTAGTAGCTTCCAGCAAAGATATACTAATGATGTCAAGAGACACACGCCCAGTTCTACATTCTTCCTTGTCTGTCTCAAGTCCCACATCTTCTGAAGTATCTTCCTTGCTTTTAACAGTCTACCTCCTTCTGCTAATTTACTCCACAGGATCATGTAGAGTTTGGGTCAGAAATGGATTCAGAGCAGCTAAATTTTGCTATTTTCTGCATCTGTAACCCTTATTAGTAAGTCACTCTCCTGTCCCCGTCCAAGATTCCCTTTCTATCTGAAAAATCTGATAAATGTGTACCTGTTCTTTGGTACTGTTGAAATCACAAGGAACTAAAAGACATGAAAACACTCAAGAAAATTTAAGCCCTCCTATCTCTGCCCTTATCTGGAGTACACACTTCAGAATGCAAGAGCAAAATCTATTACCAGTTCGTTGGCTTCACCTCCCTAATAAGATTATAGGTAGGCCACTTCTTTCGTGTCCCTCCAGCACATGGGAGTAATGGGCAAAGAACAGACAAAGACTAGTCAGTACCTTTGCACTGACTGTGCTATGTTCCATTTAGATACCAAAGAAGTTGGTGGGATCAAAGAACCAGAGTCCTTATCCTGGCTTCCCCACTCACTAACAGACTTTGAACAAATTTTGCTAATTGTGCTGGGCCTTTCCTACTGCCCTCTCATATGTACACATTCACCTCTCTCCCATCGTGTTAGCATTTTCATGTTTTAAATTGATAATAATAAGCTAAAATAGGCTCAAGAATCAGACTTTAAACAGTGGTCTTATCAATGACTGATTTTAGGTCTTGTGCAAAGTTAATCATGCTAAGCTTCAGATTCCTTTATCTTTAAAGCAGTTTTAAAAAAAACAGAATTGGACTGGATTGTATGAGGATTAAATGAGGAAGATACATGTAATGCACTTTTCACTCACCTTGTATAAATATCTGTAAAATAATATTATTTGTATTGGTCAATAGCAAAAGCCATTATTGAAAAGAAAGATATCTTCTAGTGCTGGATAGGTATTTGGAATCCTTTGATGAGTCTGGATACAACAAAATCTCAGTTCTATAAGATACCTGGATAAAGCATGTGTGATTTCCTCTGTCACCAAAACACTCTCTGCTTGATACCCCCAAATTGGACCTCACTAATAAGCCACTTATAGACCAACTACAACAGAGACTTTAGTCTACTACGTTATAGGATGTAAGCCTTTCCTTCATGATTAGAAGGTCCTCACTTATGCTATAATAAAACCAAAGTTATCCTGACAATAGAAACAGTGCTTTCTATGTGCAATGCAATTAGCTAAGCCCCAGTAAGGATGATTTTGCTTATTTCTACAAACAGTATGAGAAATCACTACTCACAATCCCCATTTTTTGGCAAAACTAAGAGGTAGAGAGCTTGATAACGTTCCTACAGTATGTGTTATGAAACAGTAAAGCCTGTAGCTGGACATACCCAATCTGGGTACCTGAATCCTACTGTTAATACTTACAGTGAGCATAAAAAGGGGTGCTGCATGGAAGACAGGGGCCTCTTCTTAACAGTGTCCATCCACCTTTACGGAATCACCCCTCAGTCCCTCCCCTTGTCCTTCTCGGGAGGACAGCACACTCTGCGGTGGCCAGCTGAGCCCGAGAACTACAGCAAAGCTAAGCAGACTTGCACAGATGGAACAGATGCCCCCAGTTGGAACAGATGCCCCCAGATTCAATCTCTACACTTTAGCAACTAAGCTGTGTGCTGCCTAAATTCCCAAACTGCTTCTCTGGAAATGAATTTAGGAAATGGAGATAAAAGCAGGTACCTTTTTCTGAATTAAACTGAATTTCCCACAGAGATAAAGAAAAACTGGAATGGGCTTCTATTTTTAAAAGAAAGAGGTTTCCGAGAGTCCTGTGCAATATCAAAAGCACGTTTCCGAGAACAACCTAGAGGAACTGGGGGGAAGCAAGAGAAGGTAAAGCTTCTGCAAACCCAACTGAAGCACATAGTTCCCTCTGTCTGAGGACTGCCCCATCATATTTCATACCAAGGTGCCCAATACCTACAATGCCTTCTTTACAGACCAACTGCTTCCTAACCACTGCTGACAAGACAGGATAAGGTCTCACTGTGTCCTTGAATCCTACCCACATGCCAATCAAGACTCTGCAAAGGAAGCATTCCTGATGCCTTAACTGAACTTGCTTTTGTTGAATTATGGGGAACGGCAGGCAAAAATGGACCTGTCTTAACGCCATCCATATGAAGTACGCACACGTAGGGTTCCAGGGGGTTGGGAGCTTTTATGTATTTTATTCTAACATTTTGTTTCATCAAATTGATGAGGGCACTGAATATCAGCTACTTGTTCTTACCCAAAATTTCTGAATTCATGTTTCAGAACATGAAGTAAAATGCACTTGAAAGTATAATCTGTTGCAGAATTACAGTTCCTTCTCCTAACTCCCATCATTCCTATTTAGGCCATTTATCAATTTACTGCACCTTAGCTGTAAATTCACCCTTCTTTGCCCTGTCTTGGGACACTGGAGCTGCACCCTGAAACATTTCTCTTTTGGCAGCTGGTACAATGTGAGGTCTTGTCAGTAAAGGATGCTGATGGGCTACTAAGTAGAAAAAGTGTTTTTTTCTACTGGTGTCCAGTGGGCAGTTTCCTTCTTATATCTGCCAGCCTGCAGCACCTCTGCATTAGCTATGTCCATATCCTCTCCAGAGAGCGCTGATTCCTGCACTGATCCTCTGCCTACCCTGGAGCAGCCCCTCTCTATTTCTTCACCTGGTATTCCTGCAGCCTTTAGAGTTTGCTTTACGTATTTACTTGTTAGTGATTCTGCCTTTTGATTTTAACTTCCATTTTTATTAGTAAGTTTACATTCATCATGGGGCTGTAGTGACTCTTAATATTAAACTTTCCCTGTTCAAATTACAGGCAGGGCTTCTGTCTACTGACTGGATCTTCACAGGCACAACTACATCAAGGAACAAAAGATGCTCACAGGAGTAAGACATCATCTGTCCCCTCACGGTACCCACTCATGGAAAAACACCTAAGTGTTTAAAGTACACTGGAATCCAGGCATGGTTTTCACATACATAATGTGTGTTCCTTCATTTAACCCTCACGTCCACTGTACATCCACTGTAAATGAGGAAATTGAGGCATCTTGGGGATTAATTTTTCCCAGATCACACAGATAATAGAGGAGCCAAGACTTATTATCCCCCCAACATTCTGACTGCAGGGTCCCTGGTGCCTCCAGAAGTGGCTGCAGTCAAAGAAAGAGGAGCCAGAAAGCATTGTCAGGACGCATCCATCACAGGTGCTTAGAGATGCTTGGAAGGAAAAAAAAGCTACACATTAGCCGGAGAGGTACTTGTGTCTGAAGAGTTCAAGAAAAGAGAAGGGATCATGAAAAGGTCTTCTAAGTTACCCCTTGTAGTGTGAATGTGTTGACAAGCTCCAGCCATCAGGTACTCTGGAGACCCCTTTAAACAGCTCTAGAGTTAACAGTCATGATACTGTCCATGTTTCTGAATCACGAATGCCAAGCAGCTAATGCCCCACTGGTTTCCACTGTGGCCTCTCCAGGTCCAACAGCATCTCATCCGCAGGAAGTGTCTGGGGCTGTCCGAAGACTCATACTGATGGGCTCTGCCCTACTGTAACCTGAAACTTCTCATTAATATTGTATCTCTCACAAGGAGACTAGTGATGTCTACATAATTAAAACCCAAAGCAAGAAATGGCCATCAGGATAAAGAAAAAGAAGCTGAGGATTTGGGTGGCTCCATTAGAATGTCCCCTCTGTGCAGGCGAACGAACACTGCCACTAGGTCACAGAGCATCGTGAACAGGGAATACGTAAGAGAAAAGCCTCCCAGGCCCAAAGGCACCTGAGCTCGCTGGGCTTAGATCTCCATCAGTTAAGACCCATTTCACCACGCATGCGACTTTCACTCCCAAGTTTCTTACAACCCAAATAGAATTTGGGTCTCTTGTATCCAATTAGGAAAACTGGCACCTGGATATTACCTTTTTCTTTTCTAAATGTCCCCAACCATCCAGTCTAGATTTTCAGCCATAATCAAACATAAATCCACTGAACGATCTAATACCAATAGTTCTCTAAATTCGCTATACTTTAGATGCCTCTGGAGGTTTTAATATACCAGGTCACATCCCAAACCAATTAAATCAGAATGTCAGGGGGTAGGAAATGAGTGATTCTGTCTTTGGATTTTAATTTCCATTTTTATTGGTAAGTTTGCAGTACGTAATGATTACATTCATCATGGGGCTGTATTGATTCTTAATAAATATTAAACTTTCCCTGTTTTGATTGATTTGAGCTTGATTTTTGCACGCCTCCTCACCCCCCAGTATTGGGGACTTTACTTTTTTTTTTTTTTTTAACATTTTAAATTTTGAAGGCAGGGTCTCAGTAAACTACTACATTGCCCATTTTGAGCTTGAATTTGTGATCGCCTGCCTCAGTCTCCCAGAATGGTGGGATTACACAGGCATAGGCTATCATGCTTGGCCCAAATATTGGTATTATTTACCAATATTTCCTCAAGAGACTGCAATGTGTAACCGTGTTTAGGAATCACTGTGTATACAATTTTAACCTAATTAACTAGCATTATGCAGAGCTGCTCTAGAGATCTGGAGGTTTTTTCCATTTTTCCTTTTTTTTTTTTTAGTACTGGGGATTGAACTCACGACCTTGTGCTTACCAAGCAAGCACTTGAACCACTGAGCTAAATCCCCAGCCCAATCTGGAGGTTGATTTGGCTGGTTGTTTGTTTGTTGGGGGAGGGGTGCTAGGTTTTGTTTTCTGTGTTAGGAAATGAACCTGAGCCTTAGCACAGAGCTGTATTCCCAGGCCCAACTCATTTCCTGAGTTGCCTAGCATGATGGCTGCTGGTGGGTTCCTTTTTAGGAACTTTTAAGGAACTCAACTCCTTTTTAGGAACTTTCCTCCACCAGAAACTCACCAAAGAGCAAACTCCTTCCTTCACCTTGCTTTAGGACAGACCACTTGCAATGACTAGTCCACCAGAGGATAGAAAAACTTCCTTTATCTTGCTTTTGGATAACTTCGCAAAGCTATCTCAGCTTTGGAGCGTCCTATGCAATTGACCCGAAGCCTCTTTCAGGATCATCAGAACTTAACTGCTCTCTCTGCCCAGCCCCGGTCCCCTCATTCCTCCCATGCATGGTGGCACCGCACCTGGTGCAGGACACTCCTCCCAAAGGTACTTCCCAGTAAACCCCTAGTAGTAAATCTGTCTTTTGCAGGCTGTCTTTCCAGTCGAAGACAACCTAGTTAGCACTAAGAAGTGTGTGAGAATAAAATGAGACAGGACATACTGCTAAAACTTAGAGAAGGGTAAATCCGCGGTTCGGGGAATCCTGTACCACTTGGCACCTCTAGAGTTCTGGCCCTTTCTGACAGGCAGGTGACCGTGTAGAAGCCTCTACACCTCTGCCCACTTCGGGAAATTAGGGAAGACTAAGCCCTTTTCCAAATCACCTCTTTGCAGAGGTAGCTAACCTCTTCTTAATCCTGGATTAAGGTCTTAAACAGAGAGGCCCGCTTGCCTGGCGCCCCAGTTAAGATGCTGACATGTTGTGCTTAAGAATAGACCTTGAGTTCCTGTTGCCACCGGCCCAAGTCCTGAACCACGTTACCATCCCTTCCATCTTCCTCCACCCCAAGCCTGGTTTTCTTTTAAACTAGAGAGCGCCTGCAGCTTGGGTTCCAGCTTCCAAAGCTCCCACCACGAGGACCCCACTCTTACATTGCCCTGGGAGTTAATGAGGAAGACAGGGGAAGGGCCCTCTGCTCACACAATCCTGTATATGTGGGCGCACGTGCACACACATCCAAAAGTGGGGGTTCATGAGTTAGGAAAGAAGCCAAGTCAATGCAATGACCCTCTCCCAGTTAGGTACCCCAGCATATGCTGAAGAAGCTGTGGTTGCCTGCTGCACACCCCACAGCGAGCAGAAATCTCAGGTGGAAAGCAAAGCCCCAGAGCTCATGTGCACACATCCAGACCCAGTTCCTAGAGAACCCAGCCAGATTTTCTGGAATCCATTCGTGAGAAGCCATTTGTGCAGCTACTGAGAGGGCATCTATGGTTTTTCTTTCCATGCGATGACACAAACGGGGGCTCCTTGAAGCACTGTATGGTGTGCAACTTTCTGCAAACGTGTGTGGACTGCTGTAAGGTGTCTGATCCTGTTTAGGTTTACTGTAATGTTAACTGCCCCTATTTATCAGTATTTTTCTTCGTGTCCCTTTTTCCCATTCAAAACCAGCTGTGGCATTAGTCTGCTCAGTCTCCCTCCCCAAAGGCAGCATTTGGGCTGCTGGCTTTACTACCCCAAGACAGCATCCTCCAAGCTAGGCACACAATACATGTTTGTCTCTCAGTGAGGCTAATTTGAGCTGGAGTTACTGATATGACACAGGCCAAGACTTAGGGCATTTACCTAAGGGCACACCTTCATGGGTGTGGACATGTAGGTGACAGGTGTCTCGGGTTCCTTGTTTATTATTAGAAGGGATGGGTAAGGATGACTCCCTAAGCCACCTGCTCTACGATCATGCTTTTCCTCACACCTCTGCAGGCGGTGAGAGAAGCAAGGAATGAGGACTGGACAACCACAGAAAGCGGGCAGGGAAGAGCAGCACTGCCCACAGCGGCAGACTGGGCCAGCAACCCAGCCGAGTGCTGCACTGAGCCCGCTGTTCCTACCTCCTGTCTTCTGACCACATGGTCATCTCTAATACTTCTGCTCTTCCTGCCTCTCCAACAAGCAGTAAAATGCCGTGAGGGCGGCTGTGCTGGGTAGCTGGGAGGGACTCTTTTCCTAAATGCTAGGCCAATCTAACTCTTCTAACCAAGACCTGACAGGGTGGGTGTGGTGGCACTCTCCTGTAATCCAGGCTAGCATTTGGGAGGCTAGGGCAGGAAGATTACTGGAGTTCAGGAATTTGAAACCAACTGGGACAACGTAGCCCGACTCCATGTGAAAAAAAAATATTTTTTTTAAAGGAACAAAAGCAAACCAAATGGGGACTAGAGAAGGCAAAGTGGGGACAGTAAAGGTCTAAGGAACCATACGGACAGGTGGTAATCCCAGGACCCTGGATCCACCTACAGGCATGCGTTAGACAACTGGTTCTATTCCAATATTTTGGCATCATTGATAACACGGCATTAGCCACAATCAGGTTCCCTGCCCACAGCCCATGTGCTACTCATTAGTCAGCTGCGTACCCCCATCCCTGGAGCTGCCCTGATTCAAGGGTTAATGCAGGATAAGCCCCAAACCTTGGCAACAACCTTCTGGTACAGACCTAAAAGGAGGGCAAGGGTCTACTTTCCAGCAGGCAAAGACCACACAGCTCAGCCTGAACCCGAAGTATATTAAGGTTGTAAGAATGACTCATGCACTTGGTCTCATCCAGTAAAGCAAAAGAATAGATGTTAAACATCCCACCGCAGAAACTGCCGCGGGGAGAAAACATTAACTCCACAGGGTTCAGTGTAGCCAGCCACAGTGTTGCATACCTGTAATTCCAGCACTGAAGAGGGTCAGGCAAGAGGATCACTGTGAGTTCGAGCCAGCCTGGGCTACACTATGGGCTTAAGGCCAGCCTGAAGTGCAGAGTGGGACCCTGCCAAAAACCAAACAAACGAACAAAAACACTACCAGGTCCAGTGCTCCGAGAAGCAGAACAGAGTACAGCCGGAAACCCTTCCATGCGCAATGTTTAGATGGAAGGGGCTGCCTAAGATAAACAGGGTATCAAACATTTAAGAGGCATAGAGAAGAAAAAGCCAAAGGGAAGCAAAAATCATATGACATTTTTGTTTATGCAGAGGCAGGTTAACAGCATAATTGTGTTGGAAATAACAAGGACTGTTCTACACCAAATATTGCAGGAGGCCAGCAATATCCTCGCACCAGACCAGGTAACCTCTCCCAGACCCCCGACTCTGAGACTTCTGTGTGTACGGATGGTGCAGCGCATAGCACATGGCTTCTCCTGAGGCTCCATAACAGCAGTGAGCACCAGCACTTCTGATTTTTACTGAAGCTACCAAAGGCCTCCACCAACTTTTATTCTCCTGCTTCTCCAGTGAGGGTCAGGGTACTCCATCTATTGTCGTGGGCCAGAAATACATGTTCGCACTCATGGATGCCCATCACAGAAAGGCCTTTCAATCCCTTAGCCTGATTGCTACCCAAAGCTATTTTGTCCTCAGAGTTTCTCTAAAGGAGAAGGTGACTGAAGTAGGAGATGAACAAAAACCACGGTGTCTTCTTCCTTATCCTTGCAAAGAGTGGATCAATATCGTTAACTAATGGGGCAGCAGGAACTGTATCCCTCTCCCACTGCGGGTGGACAGAAGTGTCAATCAGTTAAGCTCCTGCTGCTGCCCATCAAGGTGCAGCTCAGAGCACTCAGTGGTTTCCAACCCCCCGCCGAGAACAGAAATGGCCCTTGCAGCTCAGTGGAAGCCTTGTAAAGCATGCTCAAGTGGGAGGGAGTCGATGCTAAGCAAACTCAGCCCACTGCTGGGTCCCTGTGTGCTGACATTTGTAATCAGGATGGAAAATATCCATGAGACATGTTTCAGAGGACTGGCTTGTTTTCTTCTGAACAGTTTAGCACTTGACCTCCCCTGCACCCTGACATTAGGATGTATACAATATAGACGGAGTATACCTTATGCAAAACGTTTGAGTCCACAGGGTTTTAGATTGCAGATTTTCTCAAATTTTGAAAAATTCCTACAGGATTGCATATAGTGAACTGCCTCGAGAAGGAGACCCAAATCTAACCATGAAAAGTATTTATGTGTCATGTAGATCTTAGGTGCGTAGCCCGATGGTAATTTTTTACAGTATTTATATCACACTTGTGTTTTGCTGGGACTCTGTAATATAAAGTCAGGTATGGAGTTATCCACTTGTGGTGTTATGTCAAAAAGTTTTGGATTTGGGGACAATTCAGGTTCTGGGTTTTCAGATTGCTAAACCTCTACTGTGAGCTGCATGTACAGAAGGAGAATTCTCCATAATGTACATGGACCAACTCCCCGCAAAACAAAACAAAAACGCAATCACTGTGTGTTATAAACATGTACTAATAAAAAATAAAAATTTAAAATGTAGAATTCTCTATTCACCCAGTGGGCTTTCCCTACCTTATTTCCCAGGACACACTAGCAGGGGAGGATCAGGTAGAGCCCAAACAGCAGGATTCTTCCAGATTGAGCAAGCACCTCCCGACCTCCTCCCAAATC